ACTAAGATTATAATTGCAGAGAAGGTGACAACCTGCCTTGGTAAAGAGAATTTCCTTACCTGGGAGTTCCCTGTACCAATGAAATCACTGCTCTAGTCCCTATCTCTAGAATAAATCCTAGTTATAAGTCTCTGCCCAAATATTTCAATTTTATTCCTACTCATCTTCTTTGGTCTCCTTTGCTGGTTCATTATTTCACCTTCTTCTCTCAAAATGGGGACCTCCCAAAAGGTTCTCTCCTTGGCCCTCTTTTTTTCCTCTCTCCTCTCTCTCCCCACCATGTTCTTATTCCCTGTCACTTTTCCAGCTATAAATCGTAGGCTTGAACAAGATATCAAAGGGAAAAGAACTTGATGATGATATGTATTTATATACTATCTTCCTAACAAATTCCATACCTGGGATCTGTGCCATACTGTTCTAGGCATCATTCAGGTTGTATACTTTGCTTCATTCCTGTTCAGGTACTCACCTATCCGTGAGAACTTAGGAGACCATTCCTTCCCTTAGTTTCACAATGGTAATAAAAGTTATTATAATCAGAATTATTTTTGTTCTTGTTGAGTCATTTCAGTCATGTCTGACTCTTCGTGACTGCTTTTGGGGCTTTCTTGGCAAAGATATTGGAGTGGTTTGCTATTTCCTTCTCCAGCTCATTTACAAATGAGGAACTAAGGAAAACAGGTTTCAGTGACTTGTCCAAGATCACACAGCTAGTAAGTGTCTGAGGCTAGATTTGAATTCACATCTTCCTGATTCCAGGCCTAGCCGCCTATCCACTGTGCCACCTAACTGCCCAATCAGAATTATTGCTAATCATTCAATTATCATACTGCATACTTTATTTGCTAGTCTCCAGAAGAAATTTCTGCATAGCACACTAGTCATGAGAATAGGATGCAGAGGGTACTCCCGGAGAATGCCTGTTAGACATGGTGTGGCATTCAGAAAATTCCCAGTTGTCCACAGTAGAGCCATTTAACAGAGAAAGGGCTACAAAGCTGTAGCCCTAACTTATACCAAATGGCTAGTTAAGACACAGTTACAGGATGTAGAATAGGGACAAATGAGAAGAAAAAAAAGTGAAAAAAGAGCAAGTTGGGATTGGGGGACTTGTTGAAAACAGCATTAGGAGTGAGGAAGGGAGTTAGAGGCCAAAGTCAAGTAGGTGTCATAAGAAATCATTTCAGCTATATAAACAACCAAGTTCACAGGATCAGAGATTCAGAGCTGGAAATGATTTTAGCGTAACCACATTCCAGCCCTGACAGCCACCAGCAGGATCATTACTCAGCTACACCCAATGTCCGCTATTCCAGCAGATTTGCAGTGACTCTTTCCAGCTACAAGACCATATTGTAAATTTCTGCTTTAGTGATTTCTTTCTGCATTGAAAGAATGAGTTGGGCTCCAGAGCATAAGATTTAAGGCCATAAAAATAGTCAGAGGATTGAGGAAGCCACCTGAATGGACATACACAGCCTGGCTGTTGCTTTTCATTAAACTAATTCTACCTTTCTCAACACTTGCTCCCATCATTCCTAATGCCAGACAAGAATTCAAACTGAAGTAGAAGGATCAATGAAGTCTAAGCAGTGGACTTTATTTCCTTTTAATCAAAACCTTCCACTAGAAATCCCAGGTTTTTCATTGACCAAGAATCTGAAAACAATTTGGCCTACTTCATAATTTCTTTTTTTTTCTGATAGCAGGGATATTTTCTAATAGCAGTTTTAATGATGATCAAACCAAGGATTTCTACATGCACAAATGCGTAGAATAAATCAGATATACTTGAAAAACAATCTAATGTTCTCAGCACTTATGTGCATTTAAGAAAATTTATTTAAATGTGCATTTCCAATATTCACAACAAGAAAAATGTACAAGTATACAGAGAGTTTTACCTTATCGTATATATGGTCAAAAGATTGAAAACTGTGAATGCTTTTGCAGCATTCTAAGACTGACACAAGCATACATTTTGTAGGATGAGATACTCCTCTGCCATACTATGATTTTCTGCCAGCCCTTGGTTCAGAGACCTGGAAAATGGCTATTTTGTTTATATTTCTTGGTTGTGATGCATTTCTTTGGTCCCTAGAGAGCTCTTTATTTTCCCATTTCCACAGCAACAGCTGCCACTGAGTTTCAGACTTCCTTAGTATGGAACACACCCAACAACCAGTAGAAACCATGCCATGCTCCTCAGTGAGGAAAAGTTGTACACATTCAATAATGACGTTTGGATTTTATGTCACTACTCAGAAATGTAATGAACCTCCTGCTCAATGTTCAGTATTAAACCATTAAAGAATTAGGGACAAGAGGGAAAGGGAGCACTGTTTCCCACAATAATTTCTATAAGTTGTGAAGAAAATTAATCTTTTTAGTTTTTAATAAAAAGATAATTTGTTACTTTTCAAAACATTAGTCTGATATAAATGAATGATATGTTTTATACTCATTTCCCTAATATGACATGTCCTTTGGGAAAAATTCATCAGGGAAATTTCACAAGACCTACCTCCCATTATTCTAATCCCTAGAAATTAATACTTGACATTTATATTATCAATATGAACTTTTTTCTTTCTTTTCTTTTCTTTCCTCTCCTCTCTCTTCTTTTTTCCTCTCCTTTCTTCTTTTTCACTTCTCCTCTCATCTTCTTTTCTCTCCCTTCCTCTCTTCCTTTCAAGGCGTCAAGATTCCTAATTATCAAACACCATGACTTTTTAATTTTTTTTCCCTTGTTAAATATCCTTAATTTCTTCAACTATGGTCAGAGATTATAATCTTGAGGACCTTCACCATGCTATCCAAGCTTGTCCAGACACTATCTAATTCATAGCTGTTACTAGAACCAGAACTTTGCTCTGGAGATTTAGAGGTCAAAAATATTTCATAAATGTATCCTTTAATTTTGGGGGGGGGGGTAGGGGGCTAGGCAATGGGGTTAAGTGACTTGTCCAAGGTCACACAGCTAGTAAGTGTTAAGTGTCTGAGGTCGGATTTGAACTTAGGTTCTCCTGACTCCAGGGCCAGTGCTCTATTCACTACACCACCTAAGTGTCCTTTTAACATAAAAACAATTGAATTCAGCACCCAGATATCAAGAATAATTCATTAAATAGGGAGTTATTAAAAATAACCATCTGAGAGCCATGAGAGTAACTAATTCCTCCCTCATTCAAGTGAATTTATCTTAATCACTTCCCATATTATTTTCATATCACAAAATACAAAGGTGCTTTGAGGTCATGGTTTCCAACTGATCCCCTGTAGTACAATTTGTGTCACTTGCCCAAGGTGTCAAAATTGCTACTTATGCTTCTACTGTAGCTTATCAATAGGCTTCCTAAAATGTGGCAAACAGAAATGAAAACAGAATTCAAAGTTTGGTCTGACCAGGACAGAATCCAACAGGATTACCTCTCTGATCCTGAAAACTATCTATTATCTAATGAAGGTTAAGTTTGCACTAGGTTTTTTTGTTTGTTTGTTTTGTTTTCAGCTGCTATTTCAAATTGGTTTGTATTGAGTTTGCAATTATCTAAAACACCATGAACTTGTCAACTTTTCTTATGAACTACTGTCTAGCCAGGCCTCCATACACACACACACACACACACACACACACACACATACATACACATATATATGTATATATATTTTTTGTGCAGTTGATTCTTGAACCCAAGTATAAACAAGCCCCAATATTTACTACTAGGTTCCTGTGAAGGAATTGTGTTTGGCTGCTATAGTCAAATTTAGATCCACAGGAGAAAAATTGACCAATTTTTCTTTTATAATAGAAAATAGATCTACCTAAAATATTAAATTCTTTTGACTACATTCAACCCAAAGTTGGATATTTAAGATTTTTGGTATCCATTTATCTAAAATATTAAATTTATTTAATTACATTCAAACCAAAATTAGATGTTTAAGACTTTGGGGGGATCCCAACCCTATTATTTAATGTCAGTTATTTCTCTCAGTTTTGTGCTATCCTCAAATATTATAAATATGATATCCATGCCTTTATGTCAGTCATAATTAGTGTTAAACAACAGAGGGACTAAACAGAGATCTGTGGGTACTACATTGGAGACTTCCTTCCATACACATATTCAACCATTAATGATTACCCTTAGGATCTACCTATTTAACCAGTCCTCAACTCATCTACCTATATAATCATCAAGCCAAAATCTGTATGTTTTTGCTACAAGAATAGTATGTAAGAAACTTTGCCAGATACTTTAATTGAAATATAGACAGACTTGATCTACTCCATTCACCTTATCTACCAATCTAGTAACTGTGCCCAAAAAGCAAATGAAGTTAATCTGACATGATCTGTTATTGATCAAGCCATGCTAGCTCCTTATGATCATTACTTCCTTTTCTAGATGTTTACTAGCCATCCCTTTAATGATATGCTCTAGAATTTTGCCAGGAATCAGAAGTCAAGTTCGTTGGCCTAGAATTCACATATTCCGTTTTCTTCTCTTTATTGAAAATTAGGGTAGTTGACTATATCTTATCCCACAGTACTTCTACCCTTCTTTACGACCATTCAAGAATTGACAATCAGCAAGGCTCACAATATTGAAGTCATCTTCAACTACCATATTCAATCAATGAAGTTTGAAGAGGCTTATCTCCCATTTAGCCCAGGGTAATCAATTTTTTAGCACTAGTAACTTTTAAAGAACATCTTCAAAGTTTTAGAGGGGTTACGATCTATGTTGGTACATACAGTATCCACATAGATGATATCACAGGTATTCAAAGTATTAAAATAAGCTCATCCCAATAAGTGTAACTATGTTTCTATGAAGGAATTGTGTTTGACTGCCATAGTCAAATTTTGAACCACAAAGGAAAAGTCATCTAATTCTTCTTTAAGGAGGTAAATATTTTAAAGTAATCTTTAAGTAATTACTTCTTTTAGTAATTTTGCTAATGCAAAACCGAACTATTTTCAAATGCAGGCGAGGATCCAATGTGTCTCTTACTTTAGACATGAGTGGTTTGGGGACCATCGAGCCTTTTGTGGCTGTGCCGACCCCACGAGAGAAAGTAGCAATGGAGTACCTGCAGTCAGCCAGCCGGGTTCTCACGAGGTCACAGCTGAGGGACACCATGACAAGTTCCCATTTACTCCAGACTGAATTCATGGTGAGTCTTTCCCTTATTTCAAAGGTGTTTATCTACATTGGTTTAATATTTGTGTCTGGGGAGGAAAGGGTGTGACACAGACCTTGAGACTATGTGCTACCACAATCAGAAGGCAAGGCAATTATCTATGGAATGGGAGGGCAACAGATGTTGTGCATATTCCTAAGGGAACCCAAGTCTTTCTCTCTCTCTAAGATTGCCTATAGCTAGCCTATAAAATCAAAGTTAGCACAGGCTCTCAAACTATCCCTCGAACTAACAAAGCTGACTGTGTTGTCAGGGGAAAGAGCAAGACAGCCAACTGAGACTTCCGTGTGGCTGAGCCATGCACCCCTGGGGAGTCTGGTTACCTAGGTGCTTATCCTGTGTCTGTGTTTGTGTTCCCTCGTGTTGTGTGTATCTCTGGAGAAAGTCTCATACATGGGGCTGGACAGCATGAGACTAGACATCTTAGGGCACAGAATGAATCAAAAGGCGTGGATAATATTGCTAATGCTATCTCATGAGGTTAATGAAAGCTGCATCCTCAGAAACTTCATTTGTGCCCTTCCCTAATCTCTCTGGCATGTCTCTGACAAAGCTCACAGGATGTTTATGGCACAGTCAGGAAAGGTGTGTATCTGCCCATGGTAGAGTATGTTTAGGGAACTCATTCTCCATGTTTTACATCCATACACATCTCAAGTTAGTGCGCTTTTTAAAAGCATGTCTACCTGGCACATGAAATTAACATTACTGTGGAATGTCTAATAATGGCCTTACTCTACTATTCTTTTATCAGATCCATTATCAGGGAGATGTTTGATAGAGTCAAATAGACCTAACTAAAGAATTCAATTAAATAGAACAACCTGCTCTAAATCTAATTCTGCTTCTATTGACAATTTCATGAGTCTTTTTTTTCCCTCTAGGCATTGACTAATTCAATATTTTCTCTATTATATCTAAGATAATAAAAGGGGGAAATGCCAAAATTTTCATTTTCTCCTCAATGCTTTATTTTATTGGTCCAAGGTTTCATCCTTATAACAAAACTTGACTTTTCACAAATTTGCAGACTGACTAAACAGTGGAAAATTCAAATGAATTGTTTGACATCTCATTCTTTTCAAATAATGAAATGAGAGATATCACAATTTTTTTGTTTCATTTAATATTCTACATAGGCTGTTGACATAGTTTTCACAGAGGAAAGAGTATCTAAAAATGAAAATTATGGTGCTGATTGACAAACCATTTTAATTATCATGTAACTAAGAAGTTATTATAGTTGTTGCTAATTTGCATGGAAGCCATTTTTTTTACCAAATCTTACATTAAGCTGTTAAATATATTTTGATTTTAAAACCATGATTATGTTCACATAAGATAATCCTTATGAGGAAACTCCCTTTATTAATGGAGACTGACAACTGTTTTGTAACTTACAGTCACTGAATGATTTATTGATTTTCCTAGGCTGGCACCTCCGTGGGTGAGAGTCAGGATTTGAACATAGGTCTTCTTGACTTTAAGGTCTCTCTCTCTATCCCGCTATCTTTCTACATTTCATTGCACATATCCTAAAACATTATTGGTGTCCTTTTGAAAGCTTTTGATTATTATCTCTCTCCTCCTCCAACCCTACTTCATCTTCAAACTTTGCTATATCCAACAACTTTTAGGTCTGATATTGATATGTAAATTCTATTCACTAGCTGCTTTTTCTCAAATCATTTGAAATTTATGTCACTTATTTAGGCATTTATTCTGCCACAAAGGAGAGTTCATTTGAAGAGAGGGGTCAAGGAGAAGTAATTGACATAGAATACACACGTTCCTATTTGGTGGGCCCACATGTAATTGACCTTTGGTGCTAGAATTATAAGGTCTGCTTGCAATCAAGGGAATAGCTGGTTATGAAGTTTTTCTTTTTCAAATTGTTGTTATTGCTATCTTTCATTTTTACCTCGCCTATATTGCCTAATACACCCTTCCTCCTTCACCTCTCAGATAGCCAACCCTTATAACAAAGAGTAAAGAAAAGAATCAAAAACATTTCAGTAAAACTGATCAACACATTGACTGACATCAACCTTATATTCAGTCTTCCATACCCATAGTCCCCCACATCTGTGAAGAATGAAGGGAAGTGCATTGTCACATCCCTTCTTCAGGACCAAGCTTTGGCATTGTAATATTTCACAGTATTCAGCTTCACTTGTTTTGTTATCATTGTTCTTTCCATTTACAATGTTGAAGTCTTTCGGTATGTTTTCCCCCAGTTCTCCTTATTTCATGTTATTCCTTATATTCGTTTTTTCTTATAACACAGTTACATTCCACTTCATTCATGTACTGTGGTTTGTTTAGCCATTCTCCAATTAATAATTATCTATTCGTGTCTAGTTCTTTCCTACTACAAAAAAAGTGCTGCTGTAAATATTTTGATGTATACAGAGCCTTTCTTGGATCTCTGAGTCAAAGGGTATGGATATTCTTGTCACTTTATTAGTATACTTCTAGATTGCTTTCTATTTTTTTAATTTTATTTATTTATTTTGTGAGGCAATTGGGATTAAGTGACTTGCCCAGGGTCACACAGCTAGTGAGTGTTATGTGTTATGTGTCTGAGGCTGGATTTGAACTCAGGTCCTCCTGACTCCAGGGCCAGTGCTCTATCCACTGCACCACTTAGCTGCCCCAGATTGATTGATTGATTGATTGATTGAATGATTTTCATGACAGATTGCTTTCTAGAATGGCTGGAATAATTATTCACAGCTCAACCAACATTGTGCTAATGTGCCTATCTTTTTACAACCCTTCCAACAATTACCATTAACATCTTTTTGTCGTCTTTATCATTTTGTTCAGTGTGTGATGAAACATCAGGGTTTTTTTTTTATCACATTTATATTATTAGGTATTTGGAACAATATTTCATATGGTTATTGAGAGGTTGTGATATTTATTTTGATAACTGCTTATATCCATTGGGAAAATGGTCTTCAGTGAGGTCCAGTTAAAATCATTTGTGTTAGTTCACAATAATTCTTGGGTATCAGACTCTTATCATTGATATTTGATGCAGAGTTTTTCCTCCTCAATCGCTGCTTCCCTTCTTATCCAAGCTATATTAATTATGTTTGTGCAAAACCTTTTTCATTTTAGGGCATCAAAATCTATCATATCTTTTGTGATTACCTCTGTTCCATATTTGGTTAAGAATTCTCCCCTTGGAAATAGCTGTGAAAGATGCCTGGTTGGGTTCCTTTTAATTAAAAAAAATGCTATGACCTTTAATGTTTAGATCCTGTACTTAATTCTTCCTCAAGTAATTTGTATTCCTGAGTTCATCAAATACCAAGTTATTAAAATCAATTGTTTCTGATTCTTCCTTAATTTATCTGTTCCATTGATCTACTTTAAAAAAATTTAACCACCACTAAATAATTTTGATGATTACCATTTTACTCTATAATTTGAGGTCTGAAAGTGCTATTCTGCTTTCATTATTACTACATTTTTTCCCATTATTGTCTTCAGATTCTTTTTATTTTATTTTATTTTATTGGCAAGGCAATCAGGGTTAAGTAACTTGCCCAGGGTCACACAACTAGTAAGTGTCAAGTGTCTAAGGGCGGATTTGAACTCAAGTCCTCCCTTCTGACTCCAGGGCCAGTGCTCTATCCACTGTGCCACCTAGCTGCACCTCACCTTGAGATTCTAAATCATTTGCTCCTCCAAACAAATTTTCTCCTTAGAAATTCGGCCTAGCTCTCTAAAAGTCCCTTTTGGTCATTTGATTGGTGTAGCACTCAATCTGTGGATTACTTGAGGTAGTATCATGATTTTTATTATATTGGAGTAATCCACCTATGAACGCTGGATGGAAGGAGCATTTTTATTCAGGTCTTCAATGTGTCTTGATAAATTGAGCCTAAGAAAATTTTGTTGATATTGTCATGATTTTGAATGGAACTTCCTTTTCTCATATTCTTTTTTTAAAAAATAAATTTATTTATCTTTAGTTTTCAACATTCACTTCCATAAGATTTTGAGTTCCAAATTTTCTCCCATCTCTCCCCTCCCCCCACCCCAAGATGGAATGTAATTTGATAGAGGCTCTACATATACATTCATATTAAACCTATTTTCACATTAGTCATGTTGTAAAGAAGAATTAGAACCAATGGGAGAAACCACAAGAAAGAAGAAACAGAGAGAGAGAGAGAGAGAGAGAGAGAGAGAACAAATAATACGCTTTGATCTGCATTCAGACTCCATAGTTCTTTTTCCGGATAGCATTTTCCATCATTAGGCTTTTGGAGTTGTCTTAGATCTTTACATTGCTAAGAAGAGATGAGGCTATCAAGGTTAGTCATCATACAATGTGGCTGTTACTGTGTACAATGTTCTCCTGATTCTGCTAACTTCACTCAGAATCAGTTCATATAAGTCTTTCCAGGTTTTTTAAAAATCTGCCTGCTCATCATTTCTTATAGCACAATAGTATTCCATTACATTCATATACCACAACTTGTTCAACCATTCCCCAACTGATGAGCATCAACTCAATTTCCAATTCTTTGCCACCACAGAAAGAGCTGCTACAAATATTTTTGTACATGTGGGTCCTTTTCCCATTTGTATGATCTCTTTGGAATAAGACCTAGAAGTGGTATTGCTGGGTCAGAGGGTATGTACATTTTTATAGCCCTGTGGACATAGTTCCACATTGCTCTCAAGAATGGTTGGATCAGTTCACAACTCCACCAACAATGCATTAGTGTTTCAATTTTCCCACATCTTCTCCAATATTTATCATTTTCCTGTTTTGTCATGTTAGCCAATCTGGTGTTAGCCACACTGAGGAGTGATGTGGTACCTCAGAGTTGTTTTGATTTGCATTTCTCTAATCAATAGTGATTTAGAGCATTTTCTTCATATGATTTTGGATAGCTTTAATTTCTTCCTCTGAAAATTACTGTTTGTATCCTTTGATCATTTATTAATTG